ATTGACAATGGACAGTTCAACAGTCGCTTTTCGCACACAGCCACACCTACTGAAGAAACTCCGGGAAATCCAGAGTCCCCACCGCCATTCGGGTAGTACAGCCCCACGAAAGAACTGAGTTTCCCACACTATCCTCTGACCCAGATGGAAAAGAGGTGAACTGCAACGCACCCTGCATTCCCCATAAGGATGCCGATGCCGGTTCAAGTACCGGGCAGCAACTTGCAGAACACTCAAATCCAACTGGACAGCTAGACGACCGAGATGATAAGGTAACCAGTGATCGTGCCCCTTCAAGCACCCCTGCCGGTCCCACCGCCGGACGAGCCACATCTTGGGTCGGTGGCTACACCAGCGAGGAAGTAGCTGAGTTACAACGATCAGATCAAGACCTGAGGCCCATCATGGAATTGATACCGAAATCAGCCAAGAGGCCCAGCAGAGACCAGATAGCACGAGAAAGCCCAACCACAAGGAACCTGTGGTTGTTGTGGCAACAACTTGTGCTTAGGGATGGCGTCATTTTCAAACGATGGGTGACTTCAGACAAAACCCAGTCTTACCTACAGCTTGTCATGCCACAAGAACTGTGAACTGCTGTTCTTAGAGCTACACGTGATGCTGTCACCACTGCATCATCTTGGTGTCAAAAAAACAACTCAGAAAATCAAACGCCAGTTCTACTGGTACAGACTGAAGGAAACAGTTCTTGACTGTATCTGGAAGTGCGCAAAATGTGGCGCCCAAAAAAGGCCGCACACAACCCCACGAGCACATCTTGAGGATTATCGAGTCAGTGCACCAATGGACAGACTTGTGACAGACATCCTTGGTCCTTTCCCCATAGGTGACAACGTGAATCAACACATCCTTTTAGTCGGTGATCAGTTCACAAAATGGATGGAAGCCTACCTGATTCCCCCACCAAAAGGTAGACACAGTAGCTCATAAAATCGTCTACGAATATACATGTATCTTCCGTTTTGGCCCGCCCCTTGACATGCACTCCGATCAAGGTCAAACTTACGAGTCTCATCTCATGCAATAAGTGTGTAAACTGTTAGAAATCCACAAAATGCGAACTTCTCCATATCACTCATCTACAAATGGAGAGGCAGAGCGATTCAATCAAGTTCTGGTCGACATGATCGCAGCATACGTCGACAATGACCAATGCAATTGGGACATTCACCTGCCTCTCTTAACTTCTGCGTACAGAAGTTGTCAGCATAAAGTGACAGTATATTCACCTAACATGCTCATGTTAGGTCGACAAACTCACCTACCAATTGCGATTGTACTCAGTGGCCCTGTCACAGAAGACCGACCGCAAGATGAATGAGAGTATGTTACGTAATTACGTAAACGAATGGAAAGCGCTCACCCCCTTTGATCGCAAACATCTTGGTAAATCTGCGGAGCGGCAAAAGAAAGACCACGATCCCCATGTTTCCCAAAGAAACTATCAAGTTGGTGACTTGGTTTGCATGAGAGATAGCACAAAACCCTTGGGTTATCTTCCAAGTTGAAACCCGCGAAATGGCTTGGCCTCTGCATCATCCTCCGAACATTAAGTGATCTTCTATTTGAGATCCGGTACAATCAGCGATGAAAAACAAAAATTCTTCACCATGACCGGCTTGAACAGTATTTAAGTACTGAAGTACCTAAATGGATGCTGGACCTTTGTAAGACCCTGCTTGGGAGGAGCACTCTTTCCACCCATGCCAAGCAACTATATCGCGCCAAGAACACCGACTCTCACTCATCAGCCCATGTTTCGTCTGAACCGACAGCAGTGCCCTCAAAATCACTAACTTCGATCTTCCCTGAGATGAAAAGTAACCGGACAAGACGGAGGCCAGCTTGACTGCAAGATTTTTCTAAGCACCCCCCTTATACACAGACATTCGCGTTCGATCGACTACTATAGGTTGACAACCCTTTTACCCTTGCAATACTCTTAACCTTGTATTCTACAGGTTGAACACTTAGAAACAGAGCAGGACTAGTTATCCTTGGCCACTACCAAACACAAAATTTAATGTTTTTCTCTCAAGCCACCTGTTGCTCCTTCCATTTCCGATTTCTTTCCTGGGTGTAAATCAGTCTGCACGACCAGTCATTGACCTGTGGTCATTCTCAACCAATGACCTTTCAGCCGGAAAAGATGGTCAGCAATTGTGCACGCATGTCTTACTGAGAACATCATCATTTTCTTTCTGGTCATCCAACCAACATATCCTATTACCATGGAATGCTCTATCTGCATCATCAGTTTTACCAATGCCGAATCCTTGCATCGGCATTTTCAAATGCAGCATATGCCCTGGTACACCAGACAGTTTGTCTGCGGAGTTTGTAAACGGGGTTATGCCAAACTTCCTCTACTACTCAAGTATAATCAAAAGCGCTGGCACCACCGACGTGCCCATTCCTACCAGGGGCTTGTTACGCCGGACGAAATGGTTTCAAGCCTACGTGAGCAATGGATGGGACACCACCAACAACGGTCAGACTTCCCATCGCTAATCCTCTCTCTGATGATCCCAGCAGACTCAAGACCTACGACTCCTGATCCCTACCGTAGCCCTGGTATGCCGTTGCAGGACGAGACAGCACAGCCCCCAAGCCCCCTCAACGATGCCCCCGATAATCCAGAGTCTTCCGATGCAGTCCTTCCCCCAAGCAAAGTGACACCTGCAAGCCCCTCCCCTGACGATGCTTCCACACCATCACACCCAAGTGCCCAGACCCTGACGTCGGAGACCCTGTCTTCGGACACTCTCACTCAAGCGATTGGCCGGCTGAACAAGCATTTGGACGACATGGAGAACAGTCTTGAACTCAAGATAAAAGAGGTAGTGCAGGCACAATCTTCCCACCTTACTCAAGTGTTTATGCGTAGCCTTGGAGACAACTGATATAAGCTCAATCACCGCAATCTATCGAACTCAGTGTTTCTGTTCAGTGTCCATGATGGACACTGATAAGTCAGTCCAATGACTCTCATTCTTTATGATAACGACTCCCTACCCCAAGAGAGACGTTACAATACTTTGCCTCCTGAGCGAATACATGTATGTCACCACCTGTTTTGAGCTTTGCCAAGAGGTGGATATCTTCAACAAGTTCTGCTTTATCTCGTACACACTGATCCAGCTGAAAAGTCGTAGCTACGTGAAGCATGTCTTTGCTTGATTCTCCACAAAAAAACGTGGCATCAGTTGAGATCAGTTTCTCAGAACTTGAAGACCCTGCCCTGGTATGTTTGCCTGGAACATCAGCATCTTCAGAGGGTAATTGAGAAGCTGGTCACTTCTCTGCTCTTCGTAGCATTGTTGTGTTGTAGCGCAGCATGCATGTGTGGCGCCATTTGGCTCAGTAACCATAACTGCTTCAATGCCATCTCCTTTGTCTATTCTGTGTAGCTGTATTGTTCTTGGTAGCTTCCCCAATTCATTAAACTTTATCAAGTTTGCTGGGCCAGTGTTCTGCATCCTTTTCCACTGTCTTTGATTGTGCCGGACAGTTCAGATGCTCTGGGTTGTCTTCTTGACATATAACAGTCTATTTCAGACAACTGTGAAGGCCGCCCTTGGCATGTCTGAATGAACTGGAACTGTTTAGACATGGTTTAGCCTTGATCACCTCTCATCTGAAAAGGTATCAGCACCCACTAACTAATATTTTACCATGCCTCTACCTATATATGTAAATGTATTTAAAGTACCGGTAGCAGAACGTGGAGATTTGGGTGTCACACACTCGATCCTGCTTTGCTTTAAATGTTATGGAACCAGTTAAATGGCATAAGAATGATAAATTCAAAGTTTAATTCTCAGATTACCTCATAATACATAAGAAAGCATCATGTTTCAATCATCCCTTTAAGCAAACCATTTGTGTACCTTCATTATTAAAGTCCTCTCTTGATTTCATCTCCCCCCGTCTGATTTAATTCCACCCCCGTTTCCCAAAAAATATATATACACCATATGCCTTGAATTACACCTAAATCTATCTTACCGATGCAGTTGTTGGAATATAGCTGCATGAAATATCCTGTTACAAAGAGAAGCCGACCATTAGACTGGCTGCAAAAAACATGCATGTGTGCTGACACCAGCATGTAGGCTACAGACTGTTCTGCAATATGCTGTGCAACTAAGTGGCATGCACATGCATATGCATACCTATGCATGTGTGTGTGCCACTTCCTGTCATTAGTTTCTGCTTACATGTACATGTAGGTGTACTGGCTGTTTCTCACACCACTATTTTTAGAACAATGTGTTCACTCAGTGTCTGGTCATCAGACACTGAGTGGCCCGAGTGTTGACTCAGGCCACTCAGTGTCTGGTCTTATGGAGCCGACATGTACCATGTGTACAGATATTATGGTTATATGCATTGTATACATGTGGTGTATACATGTATACACCGTTCATTAAACTGTAGCCTGATTCTCTTCTAAGAACCAACAGTCTTGTGTTAGTTCTAGCTTTTAGAGAGAAAAACAGCCTGGGACATTATTTAAGTTAAGTAACATGATTTTTTAAAAACAATGCAAGAATCTTAAAATTCTCAGCACAAAATGGGTGTCTTAATGAAGTCTGTATAAATGAACAGATGTATGGAAGATTGGCCGCCATTTTGGCTAAGAATTGGCAGTCGTTTAGTCACTTAGGTAGTTGGGGACGAAATAAACAGTCAGGGAAGTCTGTAAGCATCATTTCTTCAACTGGAGAAACAAACTTGACAATCTCAGCCAAATTTACTGTATCATATCAGATGCAACCATCGGTGATTGGCGGCCATTTTGAAAAATGGCTGCCACCCCCCCAATTAAAATTTCAAATGCCTCAATATCTAAAACTGTTGTTACTCTACATGTATACCTGTGCCAAATTTGGTGCTTTTATGACAAAGTGAACAATTGGCTCCATATTTTTCACTTACATGTAGTCGCTGTACAATTATAAGACCCTTCATCTTACCTTCTGTGCAAGCCGTCAACAAGACCTCTGCAGACAGCTGAAAGATCCACTCATAAATTGCATCACTTTTCAATAGAAAAACAAAATTCAAGAATCTGTAAAACAGTTCTGACCTTCAAAGGAAAGCACAGAGTGCTGTAGAATGGTTGGTTCCACACATGCAAGATTTTAGATACACGAATTACCCCTTCCTGCATTTCTACTTGAGTGTTGCGTAGTCAGGTACTTAACGTCCAACAAAATGGCTTTCAGATCTCACATTTGTAATTTAATCTCTCATGTCCTGAATGCCAGCACTCACCTTCCGATGTCTCTGAAGCTAGGGATATAGGCCTCCATCATCTCAGCAAAGTCTTCCACATCAAATTCATCTTCGTTCCCAACCTCTTTGAGAACACCCACCAGGTAGTTGAGAACTATGTCATCATCAATTGCACTATCGACAGGGGCAACAGACAAATCAGAGTGAGCAATGCCCACCATTTTACGGAGGGAGAAGAAATTACAAGCAATACTGTTTCATCAATTTGTCAAAACTGTGCAGTGTGAATCTCTCTTCCTTGCGAAAGTCTTACCCAATTGAGGATTGCGGTAGATGTATCTTCAAAAAGGTGTCTAGTGCTGATGTTACAATGCCTTTTCTTTCCATCCTCAATGACATGTAATCTGTGAGATCAAAACACAAAAGAAATCCAATGGGCCTTGACTCGCGATTCTGCTTAGCATGCCATTGCCGACAATGAATAAAACACAGTGACAACTACACCTTAATGACATTGTGCAGGACCTAACAATTATATTCTGTTCTTTAATATGATAGAAAACAAATACAGTTTCATTGCACATGCACATTAAGATTTGCACATTTACTGTGATCACATGTATCTGCTGAACACTGCAACGGAACATGCACAGCGAGTGTTTTATGGGACTTTAAATATCACCATGTCAAACATTAATCTGGTTTCACGCCACATTATCATATTGAATTCATATATTCCCAAAACAGTATTCCACGTTTGGCCGATTTAAATCACCTTGATTTATGTACAGGTAGATCACTTATTTAAATCAACACTTTTAAGAGAATATGTTTCTCTTGAAATTTCTCTTTCGACTGATTGGTAATTTTTCCAGGTTTTGTACATTTCAATCAGCAAATACCCCCCTCAGTGAGCCCATCAGCTCCTAGTATTGATAAGAAGTACTGTACACTGTATATGTGAGTTTTTGTCTCCTTGGGAGCCTCAGCCAGTGCAGTATGGCGAAGAGATGATTGCTAATCACTCTGAGGAACTTCTTTGCCTAAAGGTACATGTAATGACTTGCCCTGAGAGTAAAGTTAAGCCCTGTAGAGTTCTTTAAATACATTATAAGCTAGAACTCAGATGCGCACAAGTATGAAAAATTGCATGGTCTTAAGACGACCAAGCAATCACAAAAATACATTATGCTAGGAAGGATTGCAACAGACTTTTGGCAGAAGAGGTCATTCTTGTCCAGATACACATGTAACGAGGACATAAAGCCCGAGAAGTATTATGTGTAATATGTACATGTATTGCTTTTAAAAGCTTAATGTCTTAATTTCAGTTCAATTTGAAAAAGCACATCAAGTAAACTTTCCAACAGAGTGAACAGACATGCATGATTTGTCTTGGACACGTCTGCCTTGTTGCTATTGCTGCACAATATGGCTAATTACATGTGTATTTCATTTTCGGAGTGTTCCTGATTAGTACGTCATTTTGAGTGGAACCAAGTCTTGAGAAAATACCGTAGATACATGTGTATATGTACAAGGCCCAAGGAAGGATCTGCCACAAAGTGAAGGCTACATGCTGAGGCTGCCACATTCAGCAAAGCAGTGGTGGACCAACTTCCTTGTTCACATGGAAGATGTCAAAAAGTCAATCACTTTTGTATGTTTGTTTTAAAATTTTCATAATGATACTTGCGAGAAACTTGTAAAGTGAAAATTTGTTCCAAAATACACTATACATGTACGTGTACATCTAGATTCTGAGTGTGAATATTCTCAAGCATGTTTTACAAATTCATGCATGAAGCCTAGTAAACTCTCAGTGATTTTGCATAATTAGCTTGGCTGAACATTAAGACCAACATAGACAGGACTGATGCTTCAAAACTATACATGTACCGTACAACTACATGTATTTGTAAATGCACATTGTAGGAATTTAACTTTATTTTCCCACATGATTTCTTAAATACATGTCCAGTCAAACTCTGTAAATACACGATTTTGATTGTAACAATGAAAAATTTTGATCCCAATCCTTTCTTTTTCCAATTGTTTTCATTTCTGAGACTACATGTACTACTAGTATGTTCCTGTCATAACAAAGTAAATTGTTGGGTCCAAAGTTCCTCTTTTTAAGGTTCAACTGTACCGTATTGTGCCATACAAACATTGAGTCCAAACTTCATCACCCACATTTGCCTGAAAATGTTTCAACATTTTGATGCTATGTTTGGCACACATCCTTTCAGGTCCCCTTTGTCAACACATCTTGGCTAAAACACGTACATGTACACAACCATCTAAGCAGAAGAGAACAGGCTTTGGAAAACCCTTTCCAGGGACTGTAGATGGTCAGGGATGGAATGGCCAAGGAGTACCTAGATGTAAGTTTTCCTGTAATGTACATGTACATGTAGTTTTAATAGATGTACATGTACATGTATGTCAACCATAGTACCCCCATCACACAATACCATAGGGTCACATCATTTGACATGAAAGTGTCATGGAAATGAATGCACATGTATTGCTACATGTGCTGGATCACACATTTTTATTGCTTGCATAAAATATTCAATTTGGCACTTTATAACACAGTAGCCTTTGTGAACCAGGCATCAAGGCTAAGCTGTAGAACTGTAACATACATACAGTACAAGTACATGTAGATTGTACAGCACTCCCAAATCCTCCTATTGCAATACCATTTTACATACACCCTAGGGGGTTAGGGTTAAAGTTAAATGCGCATTGTTATCTTCACTACTTCCACAATGATAATAATAGTAATTGAAAATGTATAATTTTCAAAAAATTTATCATTAATAAATGAAAATCTACAATTTACAAGTAAAGTCAATCAAGAGTTTTCTCTGGAGCTATAATGCTTACGCCAATAGATTAAGGCTTCAGAGACAGAAGTACATCGACAAAATCACTGATAAACGAATCAAAATGTCAGTGTTGCACATGTGATGTCAAGGTATGCATGCTTAAATTATATGTATGCCATAATCACATGTAAGTGCCCCCGAAAAGCCAATATGAATCCTCAGTTTGATTCTAATTCTTAGTTTTGGTGTGGAGGTCATGATTGGAGACCGCTGAGGAAGAAAACAGAATGCAATTTCCATCGAATCCAACAGAGAGTCCATAGTCAGGAGATTTAGTAGCTATTCACTTGAAAGACAAGACTAACAGATCATTTGTGGCAAAGGTAGATGGATGGGATGGGTCAAGAACAAAAATATATGTACAGTGGATGAAGGGATCTTAGATGAGGTAGTGGAGACCTTGGGTATTAGGAGTAGGTAGAAATGTGAGACCATATGAAGTAGATGTGAATTCAGGTCATAATGTGGGGTTTCTAGCTTACTCAGAAAGGGTAACTTTCGAAAGCTGTGTCCATGCAACTTAAAAGAAAGTACATGTATAGTGAGTTGGATAATTGTTCAGACTCAGAATAAGATTGTTCCCCTTACAAAACTATGACAGGAATCTACAATGATGTGTTTTGAAATCCGATTGTAAAATAATTGTATCAGGTGGCACATGAAATATTGAGTTCCAGAAGGTGAATCCAAATACATGCAAGTCATTTTCGTCCATTTTGGTCTGAGCCATCAATACCTACAGGTGTACATGTACTTACAGTAACTGTTATGATGGTGCAGCTTGAATATCAACCCACAAATCAGTAAACCTAGACAATACAGCATTTTCATCCTTGGTTGTTCTCCTATAGGGCCAATCTGTACCTTGTAATGTGCCTTTTGTTGATACACTGTAATATTTACAATGTGAAATGTGTCAGGCAAGTACATTGTATATAAAGTGCATTATACCCGGTCGAAATACATTTTTAAAGTTATTGTACTGTACTACGATCATGATGGATTTTCAAAAAAAGGGTCGGGATTTTGTAGGCCTTAATTTAAATACATGTACAGTAATGCCAAGTAGCTTGTGTACCGTGTGAGCTACATGTAAGGTACACCAAGTGGCAAAATCTAGGGCAGCCCCATGCAGAATAATGCACAGAAAAATGGGTTGCACCATGCCGTGTAGTAAGGTACGCCAAGTGGCATACCCTAGGACAGTCCCATGCAGAATAAC